CAAGTGTACTGGAGTTGGCAAGTAGAAAACTAGTAACCTACAACTGATGAAAGTGAAGTGGAAAAAAAGGCTAGGGTTAAAGAGTTCCAGTAAGTTTATGAGATTTACTAGGACTAAAACTGTAATGAGTATTGGGCATATTAACATATATACATAACTTCTGCATTTCATTTATATTATAGTTTTATGTAATCAATCACACTAAATATATAGAGAAATATTCCAAACTAAAATCTACACAGGCATAAGTTCAAGTGAACATCAAACATTTTCAGTCTACTCACCAATTTATTGGGAGGGATGGTCTTGAGTTTGGGTTAATATGAAGTCCATTCTTGACTCAATTGTTGACAGAGCAACTCGGACATACATACCCCTCTACATGAAGACGAGATCGCTGTTTTATATTGATTGTTATCAGAGCAGAAAACGTTGAAATGAAAAGCAAAAACATATCTATCGCCTTTATTGGTCAGGATATTCTTTGCGAACTAGCATCCACAAGTTCCCAAGAGGTTTGACTTGAATTATGCTTGAAGTGTTTTATCACTAGATAGTTCTACGAGCTTTTATTGAGCTGCCGTTGACGGATGAGAAGTGATGATGCTATTAAATGAATTCCAGATCCAATTATGTTCTTCTATTGATTTTTTGAAATGATCTGCAAACTGACACTGAAGTTTTTCAACATGAATAGAAACAACGTCACAAATAAGATATTATGATTTAACTCACTTTCTTCCACTTACTTTCTTTATTGAAGAAAGGAAACATTTCACAGTTTCCCTTCTCAAACTTCAGGATTTTTACGAAATGAAAACACTTTATCACTAAACTACAAAATATTGCTATTCCGACCTTGCAGTGACAAGTTAAGGTCGTTGAATTTATCGAAAATATCAGATATGTAGCACAGTACTGAAAGCCACTTTTCATCCATAAAATATGGTGCTAGTTTGGGGTTGCAGTCTAACAAATGTAAATAGGAAGTTTATATTTCAGCTACAATGTGACTGAATACCTTTCAGCGAGAACGCCACAGGAACTTGTAGTAAGTGGATCCAATTTTTCCATAAAGAATGGAAAACAGCCTTCTGTTCAACGCTATTGATACCAGAAAGTTCACAATCTTGTAGCACTTTGTTTGCTTCTGGCTGAAATGTCTTTGAAGTTAGTGCTTCCTTGTGTATGATGCAATGTGTAAACGTTACACATGGAGCAAGAGCAAGAAAGGTTCTTCTGAACTAACTGAAGTCGTTATTTCAGAAGCTTAATGAGAAAGAGTACAAGATACATCTTAGTCCAATATGATCTGAATGGCTACTTCAATGATCGTGCATATCTCTTCCAAATCCATTCTACACATTGATACTATTTCTTCTTGACAGTTTTGTTCATATTTTTATTTCTGTAAAATATTCTGCTTTTTTTATACTACACAAATAAACGTGTGTATGCCAGCAATAGTGACTTGTAACCTTCCACACTATTCCGTGAAATTTTAGGGATGTCTGCGTGTGGTGAGGTATAGTATATAAATCTACAGTGAACATAAATTATCTGACCATGTGACTGTTAAAACTAGCATGTATCAATTTAATTTTTCTTTTTTCACTGTATCAAATATTGTTTTGCTTATTGCTTGGAAATTAGATTCTAAGCTATTTTGCAAATTAGAGTCCTTTAAATACTTTTCTCAATGTTGTTTGTCAATTCAGAAATCAGTTAATATCTTAACAGAAATACAGAGCACCTTTCAGATGTAGAGTGTACATACGTATCAATTTAAAAATGTAAGTAACATATAAAAACTCTAACACTGTATTCACAAGTTTTAACTCAAAAATATTTCAGAATTAACAATTTGTAGCATTTACTTAGTGTAGTTCAGAAATAAAAAACAATACCAATATTCAAACTTTCATTCCTGCGCATCTCTGAGAAGGTTTTACCTGTAAACAACGCATTTATCGATTTTTTTAGAATTTTTCTGCCTGCCCCAAACAACAGATTTGTATTTGCTAAGAAATTATCACCTCTTGATAATATAATTATCCGTGTCTTGTTTCTCACGTGATTTTTCTTCTCTCTTAGTGGTGCTATTACTAAATGTTTTCATTCTCACTCTTTAATAATGCCATAGCTACTGGTCTAAGCAAGTACTAATGAAGAACAGCTTTAAAACTAACTACATGGAACGTTTAAATACTATTGGATAGAACAGATTATAAACTCTAATCAAAAACATCTTAGGTGTGAAAAAAAAAAGGTGCAGCCAAAAAGGAATGAGCGTACAACTTAAAAGAATGAAATCAAAATTGCCGGTCAAACTGGTAACTACACTTATAGCATTGATAAAGATTTTACAGCAAATATTTATTCATTAGTCAGTCAGGCCGCATTTTCTGTTGAACTTTGGGCATGATGGTGGATAAAATAAAATACACTAACAAATGAATGCCAACATCTTTTTAGTTGTGAACCCCTTATAGACGACCATAGTTCTGAGCACCTATTACATTAAAGGTTTCCTTCCTTTCTTGAAGGAAAATCATGTAGTATCCCTTTAGATACCATATAAGTTCAAACTCCTGTTTTGTTTATTGACACAACAGAATTGGGCAGTAGGCACATCTTGTTTGGTGAGATTCAAGTATGCTGAAGCAATAGTTATATGCTTATATGATTCTCCATTGTAGTCATCGTGTAGGACTCTCCGCTAAAGTGGACATGGGTCAGGCCTGGGGCAACAATGCTATGGACATGGAGTGCTTTAACTGTCAATTCTGGCTACTGTAAACACAGAAACGTGTAAGATTGGTAAGTGTGCTGCGGAACTTAATGATTTATATCTCGTAAGGCTACGTAAAATGTTTTTAAGATTTCCAAATGGTACAATAACTACAATGGAGAGTCTTACCCAGTGACCACAATGGAGAGTCCTACGAAATGACCACAATGGAGAGGTCTACACAATGACCACAATGGAGAGTCCTACAACATGACCACAATGGAGAGTCCTAAACAATGCTACACAATGATTACAATGTTATCGTTCATTATTGAGTAGATCAATTTCTCCAGAAGATAAAAGAGTTTATTCCAGAAAGTAAAAAAAATAAGTAAACACAAAAAATGACTGTATTAGCTAGCATACACTTTACTAGATAGAATTCTGGTCATGACACCAAAACTTTATGATTCATTCCAACTGTGGTAAACCTACTTGGTTGTCACAAACTGAGAAAATGAATGTTCTTATATAAAGTACATATGCTATGGATGTTTAAGCAACACATAAAGCTTGACTCTTGTTTTCAATTATTTAACAATCTTTATTAAACAGGCACAGAGATGAAGAAAAGCAGGTGATATAGGTTAGCATGCAGGATTGTGAATATAATGTTCCATGGTTCATGTCCAGTTACCGAAAAGTTGCACTTTACACCTGTAGGCCGTTACTATTATGTAAGTGGTGGTCACATCCCACTATTTGATTAGAGTAGCACAAGTCTTTGCAGTGGAGTTGTTGACTAGCTGCCATCCCTCTAGTCTATCAACTCAAAACTGGAAACAGCTAGCAAGCACTGTTTTTTTTGTTTTTTGTTTTTTGCAGCTTTGCGTGAATATCAAACTTAACAACTTCAGTAGCAGAGCTGGTGCCAAAAGTAATTAATCATGTACATTGAGTGTACCAATTTTTGTAATTAAAAATTCTCTCTGTCTTCATTTTCAAGTTAGATAACGAGTGCATTTACTTTTACATGAGACTATAGACTTTACTTTCCATAACGGCTATTTATACATGTTTTAATTTGAGATAAAGTCTCTGAGTTAGTGTTCACTTCGTTATGATGAATGTGACGTGCTACATTACGTGAATATTCTTCTTTCTTTGTTTAGTTCTGCTATGAATATTGTATATTTTCTTTTTTACATAAAGTATTTTTGTTTGTATTTCAATTTGCCTTCAATACTGCATTTTTTTTTCATTTTGACAAGAAAATAATGTTTTCGTTTTAATATGAATATATCTGTTTACATGTTGAAGAACGCTGTATGTATATTAATATCTATGTATATTCTAATTTTGGCATGAAAACAAAGACGTATATAAAGTTTGTATTTTCATATGATGAAGGTTAGTGTAGATCTATTCATTGTTGTGGATTTGTATCACAAACATGAAGGATTTTTTTAAAAATCTAAAATATGACAAAAGATAGATTTTCACTCTTCGCAAAATAACTAATGCCATCTATAAATAATATTATTTTTTAATATTAATCTATCTTATAATGATAAAATGGCAATACTGCAAAGTGAAGTTGTTTAAAGGTTGTGCTCACACAGAAAAATTGGTGAAAATTAGCAAAAGTTATTTTTAACTTTGCATAATTGCACAAGTGAGTCAACATAGGATATGGTACACCTAGAAAAAATAAAGATATGGAAAGCTCATTTCTGCAAATGTACCCTAATGTGGTTCCATTATAATCGAAACCGTATTCTTAAGTAAATATTTAGTTTCTGACGTTTACTTCAGGCAAACTTCACAACTTTTGTTCTTTGGAACTTGTTTTTTGCGAATGTTTAAATGATGCCTAGGCCTAACTTACCAGTTTATTCCATGGGTAAAACAATAATCCTTTAGATATTCTCTTATTCACAACTGAGAGTCGATATAAGTTCTACTTTAAAGTGGAAAACGATATCACTATCATTCTTGTATTTTTATTGTTGTCCTTTAATATAACATACCACGCATATATGATATATATATATATACGTATATTTTTGTAAGACTATTATAACCATTAACCTATGCGTGTTAAGCCTAATTTCTTTTCGGCTTTCCAGCTTCAGTCAGTGTAATAGGGCATTAACCCTCCTGTAATCCAATCACTACATTGAGAATTTGTAATCCCACCTGTCCGCAACCGACTTGTTACTTTCTTACAAACCACTCATTGCACGGGTGACAGTTTCGTAGACACCGTCGAAACTAAAGCAGTGAAAGCTCTTAGCACCTGACCCTCCGATATTCCAGCAAGGGTCCACCGACCACTAGGACCATTTTAGTAGGACAATCAAGACGACGTTCACTGTTGAGCAGTGGAAATGTGCATCAAGAAACTGACTTTGGATTTATAACATTATCGTTTCGGGTAAAGACAAATTACGACGAACTTCTGTATATAGACAGAACCAGCACTTCTATTATAAACTTTTTGTTTAACAAATAATTTCTGTAACTATAATACCGAATTGCTTCGATATTACTGACTTCATGGTTAATGGCAAATTAAGCAACTTCTAAATACAAAGTGTAATTGGTGCTTGACAAAAGAAGAAAAGAACATGGGTGGACCGCTCTACGAGGTAAGATTTTCGTTTTTAGCTACCAGATGTATAATTCAAAGCTGCAAAGTTAGTATAGTGAAAATGTGATCACTTTACTTATATATTTTGAGGAAACCAAAAACAGTTTCGTATCTGGTTTATAACCAAAGTACAATAAATTGATTAAAAATGTTACTATTGTTAGTGACAGACAGGTCGTGAACTAACCTTCTTAACTTCCAGACAAGTTTTGTAGTCTAGTCTCTTTTTAAATTACTATGTATAGGTAACAGTATTTAGATACGTTTTAAGCCAAATACATAGAAAGATAGGTGCATTTTAATGTATTGTCTAAAAATAATAATCATGACCATATAGCAGAGAATGTACTTCAGAATATAAAAATGAAACATATTTTCAATCCGTTATATCAAATCGCTGAAACAACTGTTTCAAAGCATACATTAGCCTAGGCTTAGTGTAGCTGAACCAGCAATGCACGTTGAATTTTGCCTGTGGTCAACAACAAACAAAAAACAAGTTAAACAAGCAAAAGTTATAGGGTAGAACCTGAAAGTTTAGAACGTACTTCATGTTTGAGTAGGTTTGTTGAACAGAAGAAATGTATGCGCACGTGCCCTGGAATCATAAGTGACTTCAAGTACACGTATATATATATATAATTTGATAGCTTCGAACAAAATTATTAACTATATAAATGTAGGCAGTACGGAGGTCACGGTACAACCTAATTGTGCAAGAGTGTTAAATTATGTAATATATTAATGGGAGGTACGTTCATTTTTTCTTTTCCTCTCTGCTCTGGTACTAGAAGTTGTGAGGAAATTTCTATTTAGAGTATAAAAAGAAAGTTTAACAAATAAAAATGATCTTAAATCAAACTATGAGTCTTAACTCACAACTAATAACGTATAGTCATTTGTGTTAGGTAATGTGTAAATGTTATGGATCCCCCTTTGGGTCAACGATAAGTTTACGAATGTACCATGCTAAAACCCAGGGTTTGATTGGACCATGGTATACAGAGTGCACTTAGCCCATTGACAACAGCAGAAAAAGCTAGAGTCCGGAAACAAATATTTTGTAACAATTTTGAAGAAAGCGCAATCAAATGTATAAGTGATTTGGTTATTTGTGATAGTTATATAAGCAAGTTATATAAGTAAGTTATATAAACAGAAAATAAATATGGATAGAAAGAATAATACCGATTCTTCCTTTAAAGTGAAGTTAGGCAGTGTATTCAACATATGAATTAAGTTTACTATGGACTTCTCCTGCTATTTTTTTTACTTCAAGATGACGTATCAGGCTCCGTGTGGCAAGGGGCGGAGAACCATGAATCCTTAAATTTACAGTTTAGGCACGCTAACCATTAGGCTAAGCCGGCCCAGTTTCATTAGTGTTACAGAAACTGTTAAAAGTTGTTTTCATTAGTAGGTCGTGACACTTGGTGGGTGTTTTAGACCATGTATCTGTGATATATGTGAATGTTTCTTTATGGGCAGTGGCAGCCTATAGTAGCGATGGTTGATATATCTCGACGTTTCAGGTAACTTCAGACCTGAAGAGATGAAACGAAAGTTACCCAAAACGTCCAGATGCATCAACCATCGCTAACACAGGGAGGCGTTGCCTGTACAGTCACGTTGTTCAAATTTATCGCCAAACAGAAAATAGTCATTCTTAACATTTATTGTTTGATCTATTAGAAAGACTGTAACGTATGCTCATTGTTTTGATTATAATTATTAAATAAAATGTAAAGGAAAAAAGTTGAAAGTGGGTAAGAACTTGTTTTATTCAAAATACACATTTTGACCACATATTTTGCCATCTTCTAGCACAAATATGAAAATACAGACATCAACAACAACTAGTCCGACTTGTACATAATTTTCGTAATTTATTTTTTTAAATAATTATAAGTTAACATCAAGTATTTTGTTATTAAAGCTTTTTTTATATTTTTCTTGCATTAAAGTTACTTTCATTCGATATGATTTTTAGATTATTTTCTTCGAACTGAAGTCTGTTATGAGTGAAATGCTCATGAATAAGTTAAATGGTCTGGAATGTCCCTTAACTCTGCTGTTTAAGTAACGTCCAGTTTCTCCTGTGTATAAATTATCCCATTATTTATAGCTGAATGTATAACTACTTGCATGATTGTAAGGATCTTTATAAACTTTCTTTAATAACTGCTAAATATTTTTACCTTTATTATTAATTTTGTTTTAAACTTCTCCAGATTTGAATAAGAAATTGTGTAACATATCCGTATGTTGGTAAAATTGTATTAAGTTTTAGATTCATAGAGTTCTCTTTAATAGATTACCTCCTAGCGGCTCAGTGGTAAGTCTGCGGGCTTACAACGCCAAAAAATCGGGTTTCGTTACTTGTAGTAGGCAGAGCACAAATAGCCTATTGAGTAGCTGCAAACAAAACAAACCTTAATAGTTTTATTTTCGTGTTTACTATTTGGAATTTTCTTTTTATGTTTAATGAATGTATATATTTGATTTGTGGCTTTGTAAATATGACAGTTTTTTTGTTGTTGTTGTTTCAAAATTACAGAAATATTTTTTTTTGTATTTAGATTGTTATTAATATTTAACTGGAATACCATATTGTAGATGCACGCATGGGACTTTGGTTTTAGCGAACGGGATGACTTAAATTATATATGATACTAGTGGTTTTTGCAGGATTTACGAGATACGTTCGAGTTTAAAACTTTCCTCATTTATGTTTATTTTAATATTTAAAAATACGAGTATTGTTTTGTATTTTGTTTTTCATATGTAAATATTATACGTGGGTAAACATTATTCACATAATTTCAAAATAATATCTAATTCTCGTCTACTAAAAAAACCGCAAAACAGTTCAAAGATGTAGTGGTACCAGTATGTAGGTGGATTTAGCTCCGGTGGTTCTATGTTAATCACAGAGCATGGGAAGTCCAACATCTTCAGGACTTGCAAAAGGTGTATGATTTAAAAAGTTTCTGTAGTAGTTCTGATGGAAACTATACGAAATTGATTTTCGAGTTTTTAAGGTATTTATTCTAGTGTTATATTAACTGCTTAATGCCTTAATGCATACTGATACAACATCAAAACTATTTTGTTTTTGTGTGTGTGTGTGATGTAAGCTATTTAGATAGTTTTCAATTCTAAAGTACATTTAGCTGCTTGTTTGTGTTCATTGGGTATTAGTTTTATTAGATACGCCACAAATTCAGATAACTGGTAGTTACAGATAGAATAAGTTAGAAGTGTAAGGCGAATGTATATTTGGGGTGCAAATAAGGTTAGGAAGGGCGTCTTCTTAAACAAGCATATAAGTCTTCATTGATAATTTTTTCTTTCTTTAATTGTAAAAGTCGATTATTTAGTTGTTTTCCATAACAACTTAAATGCTTAACTTATTCTAAAATAAATAATAATTTAAATGTCAATATATTAGTTGTTTATACGATTGTTTTTCCTTCTTTATTTACTTTTAATATTCTAGATTCGGGGGTAATTTTTGAATTCACTGAAAGCTTGTATTTCCTGTTTACTAATATTTTGTTTCATCTTATGAAGTTTAAGCAGGTGGTTTTCTTTTCCACAGAATGTTTTCTATACATATTGTTTTGCCTCAGCGGCTCAGCGGTAAATCCGAGAGCTTATAACACTAAAAATCAGGTTTCGATACCCGCATTAGGCAGCACACACAACTCATTGTGCAGATTTGTGCTTAACGACAAACAAAGAAACAAGAAAATCGATTTTATATATTACATTGTTCTTAAGAAGTTTTTGAAAGTAGACTTTAATAATATCATCTTGAAAAATTTCGTTGACAATTTTATCAATGTCATCGGATGCGGTGTTTATAGCATTGTTTCTGAACTACTCGTACTTCTTTAAGTGTTCAATGTATTTTGGCAATAACATGACAGCAGAAAATTCACAAGTGGCAATTTGTAATGTCGAAGTTTTAAATAATAGTTAATAATAAAACTCTTGTTAAATAGTTCATTTTTTTCCTGTTAGTAGAATTATTTATAGAAATTTAAATATTTCAAACTCTTATTCATGGTTTTAATTTTTAGGTCCTTCTAGAACAACCATTTATAACGTTTAAAGGCGTAAAATAGATTGAGAACTTGATATTATCAAGACATTTAAAACTACATTTTAGAAAGTAATACATATTGTGTCAGTGTCATTTTGAAGTTGAATAATTAGTTTAGTATAAAATAAACATATATATTGTACTATCAACTTAATAATTCTTTAGTAAACCAGTCCTTTTTATGTTAAAAAATATTAAGAAATAATTATACTATTTATTAATAATAAAACATCTTTAATGTTTTTTCACATTTATAACTTATCAAATTAGAAAAGAAAGAAATACTTAATAAGAATAGTTCTATTTGTTAACACACGATACTTTTCAGTATAACATATTTTTATATATCAAGTATCTAGTTTTACTTTACGAAAATTTTCTTAATTCTTTCAGGTTTCGTTTCTGTTCATACTAATAGCCTTCAGTAAAGGGCTCACACTTTCCATCACCACTGAACCACAACCTGACAAACAAGACGGCAGCCACAATAAACAGGAACAATCTCAGGTTCATAACAAAAATATTGACTTCCAAAAATCTAGGGGTTCTTCTTTTACTAGCGACATAAATCTAAACAAGTTCGAATATCAAAGAATATTTGGACCCAGAAAAAACCCAAAAGATAACAAAATAGGTTTCTCGTCGTCCTTCAATCATTTTCCAGAGCTTCCTACATTCACTAGCTTACAAGGAGCCCCGAAAGAAGACATTAACTCTTCTCTAACCAGAGCACCTACGAGGCCTAGCACAACATCAACTCGGTACAAATTTAACCCTTCACTAGTTACATACACCCAACTTCTTAGTATACGTGGGGAGCCTCGATATCAAAACAGAGGTGTAAGGTACGAAAAAAATAAATCTGAAGTTGTAAGCAATGGACCAGAGTACAGGACACAAGATCCAATTAAGCAAAATAGCAAAAATCACATAATAAGAAACTTAAACCAAGAACATAGCGCTAATAACTCTAATTCAAGGGAAAACTTGGGTGTCAGAGAGGATGTTCAACGAAAAGGACCACAATCACCTTACATACCACCAGAAGAAACAATTCATAGTATTCCTCGAAGAAAAACTACTACATCCCCACCTAAACAAGCTGACCCATTGATCTTGAAGACTCCAAGTCCCCCTAGTCTCCAACATATTAATGTTCGTCCACGACGTAAATTTTCTTCTTCACTTGAAGACGTAGAATACTTTCCAAAGTACGTAATCTTCAGACGCAACACAAAAGTCGAGGAGTACCCAAAGGTTTTCAAGTTTAATGAAAAACGAATAAACATTGTGGAATTTGATCGCGATAAGAAAAGCGGACGAATTGAAAATTTGGATAAAGGGGATATACTAGATCCCCATAACATTCCTCGCAGTAAATTTCTTATTTTTCATGGTGGTATCTATGATGAAGACGACACAATTCCAACCCGACGAAACTTTGGTGTTAGTCAAGAAGCTTTCAAGATTGTTCAAGGTTATTTTACAAACGAGGACCAAGCTCAGAATGATGGTCATGATTTCTATCAGCCTTTATAATATGAACTACTTTGATCACTACACTAATACATAGACAATTGAATCAATAATAATTTTAGGGAAAAGGAGCTGTGTAAGGTTTACCTTCTGCAAATCAAAATCTGTTTTTGATTGAAAATAAATAAACGAAAGTAGCAATATTTTACGTTTTATTTTCTGTTTATATGATATAAAAAACTTAATAACTTCCACGTATATTAACAAGTTGGCTGCCACATAATAAATTAAGTATCAATTAAAATTAAACATACAAAAGGTGTCGAGGAGCAGTCACAGTGTCCCAAAATCATATGCCACAACAGAAATTTGGTTTGAAACATAATTGTCTGTGACCTACCGGTGTGTCACGCGGCCCATAACTAAAAGTCAGTTGTGACCCACCGTTGAGATACATGACAGCCAACGTGTTAAATCAAGCTCCTTTCACAGGATTGAGAATTCTAATCAATAGTTCAAAGCTATTAGTACAACAGTAGCGTGTGCATAACATTTCTATTTAAAGCATCATAACTATTATGGTGTATAACACTTGTACTGGCAGAGCATAACCTTCATTGGTAATAACCAATATATGTTTGGTGATATATCACGATGTGACTGAAAAGAAAATTATACTAAACACTGTTCTTATTTGAAAACCGTACTGGGTAGGTATGAATTATGTGATTTAACTTATCATTGATACTATTATGATGTAGTATCGTACATATATTAGTACTAAATCTAAGCTAAAACATTCTACAGTTGTCTCGTAAACGACTTAATAGAGCTGAGTACGATATATTAAAACAATTTTGGATATAAAAATCAGCAAGTTACGTGACAAACACAGGTATATAAAATCGCTGTTGAACGGTGTGTATCAGAACTACATTTTGACATTATTTGGCGTTTGTAGTAGTGTGATGCCACTGAAAAGGGATCGTTTATGGGAAGGCCATGTAACAGCTCTTTCCGGCAAAAAATATTCATACACTCAGATCATGAAGATACCTCTTGTACTTAATGGCATTGGACAACAAAATAATATGGGTGAACTTTAGGAACCAGTATTATCCAGAAAGAGACCTGCAACAAGTCGTATCCCGTCTGTGGTAAGCAAAGTGCGTCGTCTTGCAACAGGTGAGAATCCACGAACACAAAGGTAAACATATAGCGAAGCATGGGTCAGAACGAAAGCACATTTCTGAAAATATACGTTTAGCAGTAGCTCTCTATACTAATATAATTTTCTCTTGTGTTTAGTGAATGAAACAATATAAAATAAAGAGTTTTATCAAAGATTTTTACCTGTTCTTTTAAATAAATGTTAACAAGTCGTACAATCAAATGCTACGTTAATAATTTAGTAATAAGTTCCTACAATGTACACTTGTTGAATCCAGCCCTTGACGAATGTTTGGTTGTTTGTTCGTTGTTAATCACAAAGCTACAAAATGGGTTATCTGTGCTGTGCCCAACTAGGGTATCAAAACCCGATTTTTAGCGTTATAAGCCCTCAGACTTGTTGCTGAGCCATAGAGGGCTCCTTAACGAGCTTGCAATTACTATTTTAGTTGACGTATTAAATACAAATAAATTTAAAGGCTGGTTTCACTGATTAGTGTTTTTCTTTAATTTTAAGCATACTCTCTTCAAAGTGTTCTATAATTCTTACTTTTCAAAAACTTACATTATCTCTGTATAGTTTTAATATTAACTTTGATATAACAAAGATCATGGATCTAATGTCTTTTAAAAGGAACAAAATAAACGCTTATATAAAATCACACGTGCGTACCAGGCTCCGTGTTTGTCGCGGTGCAATTGGACATTCAACAGTTACCGCATTTTAAAAAACATTATTTTATTAAGACTATATTGTTGATGTCAAGACTCACAAAGTATTTAAATAAATATGTTGAAATCAAACTTCGCCGACTTTATTGTTTTTCGTATGAAATGTTTCGCTTGCAGTAACTATACGAGTGACGGTTCGTCATTTTCATTCTGTTTCGTTTAGTAGTTTCCTTGTCCCTATACTTGTTTACCTTCGCCGTTTAAAAACGTTTCGCTCGGTAAACAGATATTTTCTCTTATGACCTTGTCCTCTTTAAAAGATAGTTTTTTAGAAAATAAAGATACGTGGAAACTCAATTTAAAAATTCATTGAGCAACTGAGCTGAATAGAATACACATTTACATTCTACAACCAGTAGGAAACCATATCAAGAACTCGTTTGTCACGATTCTATTTATTATGCAATTTTTGTGGTAACTGTTCTTCCTTGTGATATAGGTAAATACTCGTACAAAACCAGTATTTAAAAAAAATGCGCGAAATATATCTTGAAAAGTTATATTTATTGCCCCACCCCTTTCAGTGGGTCAGTTATAAGTTCACGAACTTACAAAGCTAAAATCCGTGATTCGATTCCCCTATGTATTTATTTTGTACTTGAGCGCATAAGTCTGCAGATCTATAATGCTAGAAACAGGGTTTCGATACTCGTAGGAGGCACAGCACAGATAATCCATTGTGTAGCTTTATGCTTAACTACAAACAAATAATTGAGCGCAATACGAGCTGCAGCTACCCTAAGGAACCGGTTTAACCTCTTTTAGGTCCACTGCAAGTACAGTAATCAAGATCAGTATAAGGATCTATTTAGTGTTAATATTAAAGACATTGGGAGTATAGACGATAAAGTTGTATATTTGAAAAGCCCACGTTGAATACACATTCTTCCGTAGAAGAACATCAAAAAGTTATGTTGCAATAATTTAAAAACAAAATACAAAGGCTGTAGCCTTGGATACTTTTACGAAAAAAAATTAAGTGAAAGTAAATGTAAAAATGTGAAAGTAAAAACAATTAACACTCTGGACTTTTGAAGTGAAAGTAAAAACAATTAACACTCTGGACTTTTGAAGATAGCATTTAATTTTTGAAAAGCCCAAATCGAATGCATGTTTTCTGCAAAAGATCATGAAAAACAATGATACAAAGATTTTTTAAACATACAAAGACTTGTTTATTTAGTGCGCGACATCACTTACAACATTGTTTAATCCACAATAGATCGTCAATCGAAAGAAAGAATGTGATAATTTAGCTTTAAAATGGCAGCGTACGTGTTATGTTTACTGTATGCGACAAAAGAATATCAGAACGCGTTCTTTCTATATTGCTTGGCGCCCTCCAGTGGTACAGCGGTATGTCTGCAGACTTACAACGCTAGAATCCGGGTTTCGATACCCGTGGTGGGCAGAGCACAGATAGCCCATTGTGTAGCTTTGTGCTTAACTTCAGACAAACAAACAAACAGGCCTGTTGTTTCAATTTCATCATAACCAACACTATCGATTAAATAAGTGTCGTGGAAATTAAAATATATTATACCTTCGTGTATGCCTTTTTTTAGTTTATTCAACAAATTATTTGTTTTTTGGATAAATCTCTTCTAGAATGTTAGAATAAACGAACAAGGTTAATGGAATAAATTGATAAATCTAATGTTAGTTTCTAGTAGGTATCGGTGAAGTAAATTTTAGTGCAGCGTGTTCTACTTCGAATACTATTCACGGATATTTGATGATGTCATGACATTGTATAAATGTTTCAAAGCCTCTTTTTCTCTTCTGATTTACCACATATTCATTTCAACACGAAAAGGTGGGGAATTATCACAGTAATACATAATAGGTTTTACATGCCTTAATGTTTTCTAAAATTAAATCAATCTAAAAGGATTACATTATAATGCACAACTAAATATGATAATCATTTATGTATTCGTTTTTTTCTTATTTGGTTTCATTCACAGAGATAACTAAAATTATTGACGAAGACTATTATGCCACGATAATAAGTTGGATTTATTAAAGATAATACAGCTTAAACTTGGACTTATCAAAGATAATACAGCTTTAACTTGGATTTATTAAAGATAATACAGCTTTAACTTGGATTTATCAAAGATAGTACAGATTAAAGTTGGATTTTTCATAGATAATATAGCTTTAACTTGTTGGATTTTTGGCCTATTAAGTTAAACGTCTGGGGAGTTTACACCAGTCAAAGTTTTTTTTTTGTTTATTAAACAACACAATGGGATATCTGCGCTTTGTCCACCGCGAGAAATCGAACCACGGATTTTAGCGTTGTAAGTCCGTAATCTTATCGCAGATCCATCGGGTGACCGCTTTTCATCTTCTAAACAATTCTAATTTCTAGCTACCACATTCTACTTGTTTGTCGTGATCAATAAACCTGTACGAGTGTTAGTTTTTGTGAGATACGCAATCTAGCCAAGGTGAAATAAATTTATTACCTCTGTGCTACTTTAGATATGTTTAAAATTATAGAGCAGAACAAACAAGACGAAAATATCAATAACATGAATCTATCTAGACTATAAACATGCAGGGGGTAGTAACAGCTGTCTTGGTCTTGATTTGTGGGCGCTGTTGAAAATGAAGGAAATTAAAATAAAATCAATATCTTATACCTTAACATTGGCTCAGCACTGCCTAATGGTTTGTTGGTCGGCTTGTATTGTTAATTTTTCCTAGATAATGGCTATATTTAAGAGAAAGTTATATTCATGAGAGTTTTTACACGTATTAAAATAACAGAAGTCCAAATAAGTTGTTTTTTTTCTGTTTTTTTTTACAAACGAAATACATTTATTAACTCTGTAACAACAAAATTTATTTCTGTTTTAAAGCCAGATAAATGTTTATTACACGAGTGTCCCATTAATATTGCTGGCTAACTATCATGCTCTGATTTAATAATTCACTTTTTAGTCTGCCAAAGACGACATGCAAGAACTTCTATGAAGTTCAATGTCAATTATATGTGACACATTTTTGTTGTTTTGCTGTGTGAATTTGTCCTGTGAATTTCAAATGAAGAAATCCACCAAGACGATTCTTTCTAAAAGGCAAAAACAAAACAAAAATAACTCACAATTTCATCGAAATTTTATATAAGAAACTGTCTTCCAATAATATTCGAGATCAGGGGCCAACATCGTTACATCCAGGAAGCCACAAATGAGTAAACATACTAATTACAAGATTTTTCAAAGCAAACCTACATAAGTAAGTTTAAAAAGGTGATTTACTATCAGCTTTCAC